AGATACAGTGTCTCTTTCTGAATGTTTCTTTTCTTTTGTGTCTTTTGGTTTCTCTGTATAACAGTCCTGGATGTCCTGGAACTAGCTCTGTAGATCTCTGCAGAGGTCCGCCTGCCTCTGCCTCCCCAGAGCTGGGATTAAAGGCGTGCAGCCCAGCTCTTTCTGAAAGTTTCTAGCAGAAGTTGCTTCTGTGGAGAGAGGATCCAAAGATACTAGGTTGACTGTAGCTGTACTTTCCCTTGGTTGCAATTAAGGGCATATATGTTTTAAGAATTATTTTTATGTCTGAGTGTTTACCTGCATGTGTGTATGTGCAGGACATGTGTATGTGCCTGGTGCCTAAAGTGGTCAGAAGAGGGGATCAGATTCTCTGGAACTAGAGTTACAGATGACTGATTCATGTGAGTGCTGGGCACAGAACTCGGGTTCTCTCCAAGAGTAGCAAGTATTTTCTTTATTTTAAATTAATGTTTAGTGTGTATGTATGTGTGCATGTGTGTGTGTGTGTGGTCATGGGTATGTATATGTGAGTGTTAGTACCTCTAGAATCCAGAAGAAGGCATTGGATCTCCAGGAGCTGGAGTTACAGGCAGTGATGTTCTGGGAACTGAACCCAGGTCCTCTGTAAGAGCAGCAAGTGCTCTTAGCCTCTGAGCCATCTCTTCTGCCCCTGGAAAGAACCTTTAGCGATGAATGGCAAACACTTAAACTAGGGGCTGGTGAGATGGCTCAGCGGTTAAGGGCACTTGTTGCTCTTATAAAGGGCCCAAGCTCAGTTCCCAGCACCCACGTGGCAGCTCACATCTGATGCCCTCTCCTAGCCTTTGTGGGCACTGCATGTACATGATACACAGATGTACATGCAAGAAAAACATGGTATAACACACACATACATAAAATAAAAAATAAGTCTTAAATAAAAAAAGAAAAATCGTACACTGGGGTTGGAGATATGGCTCAGCAGTTTAGAGTGCTTACTTTGTACAGGAGTCAGTTCAGGTCTTCAGTACCCACGTAGTGGCTCACAGTCACCTGTGATTCCAGCTCCAGGTGATCGATATACACCCCAGGAACACACATGATGCACACACACATATATCCAGGCAAAACATTCATATCCATTGTGATGCTCTGAATGAAAATGGCCCCCATAGCTTATATGTTTAAATGCGTGGTCCCCAGTTAGTAGGAGGTGTGGCCTTGTTGACGGGGTGTGTCACTAAGGGTGGACTTTGAGGTTTCCAAAGTCCTCACTTGCAGATCAGATGTGCCCTTAGCTATCTCTCTAGCATCATACCTGCCATATGCTTCCTACCACGATAAGGAACTAAGCTTCTGAAAGTGTAAGCAAGCCCTCAATTAAATGTTTTCTTTTAAAAGTTGTCTTGGTTGCTGGGTGCCAGTGGTGCACACCTTTAATCCCAGCACTCTGGAGTCAGAGATAGGCAGATCCCTGTGAGTTCAAGGCCAGGCTAGTCTAAGTAGTCAGATCCAGGACTGCTGTGGCTATATGATGGGACTTTGTCTCGGAAAAAAAGGAAGAAGCCATTGGTATTTTTAAAAGGATGTCATGGGGGTGGGGACACTAGCAAGCAACAGACAGATCCAAGCTGTGCACAGGGCACTCTGTAGGACAGACGCCAGCCTGGTGTGGCAATTAATCACTTGAAATGTAGTTAGCGAACCACGGGACTCAATTTTTTCTTGTTAATTAGTCGACATTCAAATAATCACATAGGGCTGGAAGCTGGACACACAGGCCTAGAAAGACTCTGGCAGCCAGGCGGTGGTGGCGCACGCCTTTAATCCCAGCACTCGGGAGGCAGAGGCAGGTGGATCTCTGTGAGTTCGAGGCCAGCCTGGTCTACAAGAGCTAGTTCCAGAACAGGAACCAAAAAAAAAAAAAAAAAAAAAAAGACACTGGCAGAGATTTAGAAGACTGCATAGGGTTATATGTTGGGTAACATCCTGAGCCAGTGCCCTGATGCCCCACAAAGGGTGTCTCCTAGTTGTAGTGGGGAAGAGAGGCCAAAGTCAAGCGCCCCTTTATCCCATGCTGAGGGGACCTGAAGGACAGCATGGGTATTTTTCCTGGCCCAGCTGTCATGATGGCTGGCACATACTGTTGACCCCATCCGTTAGAGGAATATTGGCTGGTGGCAGGCCCATGGGGCAGGTTTTATTTTCCATGCCCCTAATTGTATGGGTTCATATGTGCCTGTAATGTCAACAAGACTTGGAAGTTAGAGGCAGGTGAGTCAGGAGTTCAGGACCAGCCTGTCTCAAAAACAACCCACATACACACATGCCACACACACACACAAATACATATTTAAAAAAAGTAAGGAAGGCAAGTCTGGTGGCACACGCCTTTAATCCCAGCACTTGGTGGGCAGAGCGGAGGAGAATCTCTGAGTTTGAGGTCAGCCAAGGCTTACATAGTGAGACTGTCTTTTAAAGTAACAGAACCGAAAGATGGAGAGATGGCTTAGTGAATGAGAACACTGACTGCTCTTCCAAAGGACCCGAGTTCTATTCCCAGCACCCACATGACAGCTCACAGCAATCTGTAACTCCAGTCCCAGGGGATCTGATGCCCTCTCTTCTGGACTCCTATGGCACCACATGCATGGCGCATAAACATATATTCAGGCAAGACACTCATCCCCATGAAATGAGTCAATTTGAAAAGTCGGGTGCTGTGGATTTAACCTGGGTGATTTCTGCAAGAAAGATCCTCCCAGCCAGTGCTGCACCAAGCCATCACTCCACTCCGGTCCCCAAAATAAGTTCATTTAAAAAAAATTGTTTAGGTTTATGTGTATCGGTGTTTTGCCTCCACTATGTGCACGTGTGTCTTGTTATTTATCAGAATAAAGTGTCAGGTCCCCTGAAACTGGAGTAGTGGGTAGTTGTGAGCCACCAGGTAGGTGTTGGGAACAGAACCAGGGTCCTCTGGAAGAGCAGCAAGTGTTCTTCACTGCTGAGCCATCTCTCCAACCCCAGTAAATCAATTAAGACAATTTTAAAAAAGAGAAGGAATGAAAACGTAGCCACTAGGGTAAAGGTTAACTGACCCATCACGCAGAACTGCTGGGAGAGGGGAATCCATTTTCCCCGACAGAGTGGCACTGGCTGTATCAACCCCTCCAGGATGGGCCTAGTGTGCAGAAGTTGAATAATATATAATGGATTCCAACGGGTTTTTTGTGTGATTTGGTCACAGTTCAATTTTTGTTTTTTGTTGGTTTTTTTTTTTAATTGTAGGGGCGTGGTGGTTTTCTTGGTTTTGGGGGTGTTGTTGTACTGGGTTTTTGCTCGTTTTTTGAGAAGACTTAAAGTCATATGAATTGGAAGGGAAGATTATAACCAAAATATATTTAAATTTAAAACTTGTTTTAATGAAAAACATAAACAGCAATTCTCAAATAACCAATAAAATTTTACAAAATTGAAAAATAGAAAAATTAAAAGATGCCGATATTCCAGGTGGAGACTCAGGTTCCACAGGTGACTTATCTAAGTCACCCAGCAGGTGAGGGACGCAGCTGAAGTTTGAACTTGTGTCCTACCTGCCTATGGTGCCCATGACTTTAGAAGCTGTGCTTTGGTGGAGCTCACTGAGGCCGTAAGACCAGGCAAGAGAGAGGGGGAACCTGTGCCCTGTTACCAATGGGAGACCGAGCATGCATATTCTGAGTGCAGGCTGGCACCGCCCAGAAACATGGGGACAGGCTGGATGGGTGCCTCCTGGACATCCATGTTCCTGTAAGAGATGGACATCACGTTTACATAGAGGCGGCTGAGGGTCACCAGTGAGTTCTAGGTATTCCTTCCTCACTGTGGGAGGTGATTCAAGGGGGTGTGTAATCCTGACGGTTTCCTGGACCAGGAAAAACCCACCTTTCTGGTGAAGTGGGTGAACTCTGACTTCACAATGGAACAATGACGGGGTTGGTGGGGCTTGCTGGGATTGGCACCAGTACCATGACAAGCAAGGGAAGGCTGTTCTGAGGCACCCTGCTAGGAGAGCAATGTGGGTAGCATGCATGCTGTTACTACAGGGTAACTGCAGAGACAGATCAAGCAAGTGAGCCAAACAAGAACACCGAAGCTCAGAAGGTTCTCTGGGTTCTCCCGTGCAGACTCTCTGGGAGTTTAAAACTGTTGACAGAGAAATTTCCTGTGGCTAGGCATGATGTATGCCGGTGCAGGTGCACCCAGGCAGAGGCAGGCAGATAGCTGTGCATTTGAGGCTAGCTTGGTCCACACAGCAAGTTCCAGGTTAGCAAGGGCTGCACAGTAAAATCCTATGTCAAGCTGGATTGTGGTGAGGCACGCCTTTAATCCCAGCACTCTGGAGGCAGAGGTAGGCGGATCTCTGAGTTCAAGGCCAGCTTGGTCTGCACAGAAACCCTGTCTCGAAAACCCAAGGGAAAAAAAATGTCAAAAACAAAATAAATACAAATTTAAAAACTGAGTTACCTCCAATTTTTACAAAAGCAGAATGAGCCACACCTAGGCCCAGCTTCTAGGCTCTGATTGGCCTGGGCCTATGGAGGGCTGTGTCTGGGACTGTCACGTGTCCCCTGGTGGGCACCAGGTGCAATGGAGCTAACTGCCCCATGAGATGTGGTGATAGATGTGTCTATTCCTAACTCATTAGCATTTGCAAGAATGGGCAGAAGGAATCCAGGCAGCTGCCCCAGAACCAAGGAGGCTGGAGCCAGCACATGCTTCTGGGCCTGGGAGACATCTAAATGGCAAAGACCCCAGATCCGAGTCCCAGGCTGGCAGGCAGGGGAGTACACCACCCTTGGCAGAAGGCTACAGCTTACAGTTCTCTGTTATCACTCCAGCCGAGCGCATGGCTTTGATGGCATACAATCTAGTCCCTCTCTCCCTATCCTGTCCATTTTATAAATGAGGAAATTAGGCCCTGCGCTCATCCCCCCACCAAAGCCCAGGGATTCATGTCTCTGATACTCCTCTGGTTTCAGGGCAGGAAGACTATGATCGGCTGCGGCCCCTGTCCTACCAGAACACACACCTCGTTCTCATCTGCTATGACGTCATGAACCCCACCAGCTATGACAATGTCCTCATCAAGGTAAAGTCCTGCCTGCCACTGAGAGTAGGGGCAGCTCCAGGGTGGCCTCTGCCCTGATACCCTGCTTTCTCCCTCCTCAGTGGTTCCCTGAAGTAACACATTTCTGCCGAGGGACCCCCGTGGTTCTCATCGGCTGCAAGACAGACCTGAGGAAGGACAAGGAGCAGCTGCGGAAGCTCCGGGCAGCCCAGCTGGAGCCCATCACCTACACACAGGTGGGCCAGGGTCCCTGAACAACCATTACCAGAAACCACCCAGGCCTTGGTCTTCTCAACTGGAGAGCCTTAGCAGGCTGTTGGAGAGCGGAAGCAAACAAAGGTCTAAGAGCCATCCAAAGTAATAATAATAATAATAATATAATAATAGTAAGGCGCACACCTTTGATCCCAGCACTCAGGAGGCAGAGGCAGGCAGATCTGAGCTTTTGAGGCCAGCTCAGTCTATGGGCTACACAGAGAAACCCTGTCTCGAAAAAACAAAACAAACAAAAATAGGCTAGGGCTGGGTGGCTGTGGCACACGCCTTTAATCCCAGCACTTGGGAGGCAGAGGCAGATGGATCTCTTCTGAGTTCGAGGCCAGCCTGGTCTACATAGCAAGTTCCAGGTCAGACAGAGCTAGGTAGTGAGACCCTGTCTCGAATAAATAGAGAGGAACAGGGACTAATAATAGTAAAGCCAAGGTTTTTATTATGTCACTTAACCAGCAAACTCAGTTGTTGAGTTTGGAACAGACCTGAGATGTGATTAGCCCCAGTTCTCGGAATATCAGAATTCAGTTCCCCTCTGTCGAAAGCTTGGGAGAGGACAGGTGGGGGCCAGCAAGGGCTTTCTTCCACCCAGCCATGCAAACACCAAACTGGCCAGCACTCAGACTTTGGCCACCAAAGTGAGTTCTCCACTCTGGAGAACCAAAGCTAGCTCAAACTCCTAAGACTCTGAGGGGTGCCAGGAGGCATCAGGCCCTCATCTGATTAATACCGCCCCCCTCCCCCCCAGGGCTTGAGTGCCTGCGAACAGATGAGAGCTGCGCTCTATCTGGAATGTTCCGCCAAGTTTCGGGAGAATGTGGAAGATGTCTTCAGGGAAGCTGCCAAGGTGGCCCTCAGTGCCCTGAAGAAAGCACAAAGGCAGAAAAAGCACAGGATCTGCCTGCTGCTGTGACCTTGGGGTGCACAGCCCTGAGCAGAGCTGTCCGGGTTAGGGACCCAGGCCTTGGCTCCTACTGGGATTTTATCCCGTCAGAGCACTGGGGCTAGACTCTTGGAACATTCTGGAACTGTCCCTTTGGGTTCATGCTATGGTTCGATGGTGAATGAAGATGCCAGACCTACCAGTGTCCCTCTCCCCTCGGGCTGACACTTGTTCCCAGGCTGCAGGAGGGCCCTCGAAACAGCTCTTCTTGCCCCAGCCATGCGTGTTTCCCTTTCCAAAGCCAATTCATGCTTGAAGCTCAGAAAGGCACAAAGAGTGTGGACAAGTGTGGATGTGCACTGCTGTTCCCAAGTGTCCCAAGGCCACCGTTCCTCTGTCCTCCCTGAGCTCCTGAGATAGCTCGGCTACATCCTCCAGCCTCTTCCTCCTTCCCGTCAGGAACCGAGGGCCACATCCTATCAAGAGAACACAGGCATCAAGCCGGACATGAGCCGGCACCAGCTGTTCCTGCTGTACCACACTGAAGACTTTTGTCTTAGCCTGAGACACATGTTCAGGGGAAGAAGAAACAATCTCTTAAAAGGTCAAAATATACTCAGGCCTCCCACCGATCCCTACCCCAGATTTCACCTCCAAACCCGCAACTGACTTCCACTGGGGACTCCTAATGGACAGTGCCTGCACCCCATCAGGGACCTCAGGCGAATGGACTCTCCCCTTAGACCATCCCCATCTGTAAGCGGCCAGGACTGGGTCATCATCCCACCCTATTCAGTGTCTGCTTCTACCAGGATGCGGGGCTCAGGAATGGCCTGTCCCTGCCTCCTTCCAGAACTGACCTGCAGACCACCAATGTCCACAACAGCAAGACTCCTGAGCTCTGAAATTCCTTCCAGAAGGTCTAGACTCTGCATTTCAGAACTTTTCAAGCCAAGTTTCCCAGGTGGTTTTAGTGCCCCCAAGAGGAAGTCAGCATCTCTCAAGAAGAAACCATGGCCTAGGCTGGCTCATCTGTCCTAGGACCTCTTGACTCAGCCCCCAAAGTCAGGTTGCCAAGGAAAGGGACTTCTGGCCCCCTTCCCCGCAAGTGCCCCAAGGCCCTGCTGTCCCCTGCAGAGCTAACCAAGGACCTCTTGGTCTCTCAGAATCCAAGGCCTTGTAGATAAATTATGATGTAGGGCAGGGGTCAACAAACCACAGCCTGTGGGCCATACGTGGCCACTGCCTGTTTTGTAAATAAAGTTTTATTGAACTGCCACAGTTGTGCAATGGCAGGTTACCACAGGGCTAGCCAGCAAAGCCTGAACTACTTATAGTCTGGCTTTAATGGGAAAAGTCTGCTGATTCCTAACCTGGGGCAATCCTGGGTACCTGCAGAGGGCAGGCCAGGTGATCCAAGGACAGGAGACCAAGGACAGAAGTAGGGCAGGGATGAAGGGAGGGGCGGGTTGTGGCAAACATGAGCAGGTGCCTGATCTTGCCCCTTGGGAATGTTGCCAGGTCTTTCCATTTTTGTAAGGTAAACAGAAATCTGGACTCTTATGTGGGGGAGGCGAGATCTCATTTTTATCACATAACTAAAGAAATTTAAACTCCTGTGGAGACCAAATGAAGCATGTCTGAGGACACCAGCTGTGGAGTTGGATCTGAGCGTGCAGCTGAGGTCCATGGGTCGGAACATGGACCTCCATGGGTCAGAAGGGACAGAACATTCAGCTGAACCTGTTTGCACCTCCACTCTTGCTGCTGCCTGGATCTCACAGGGTCGCACAGGCCTTCCCACACGTATAAGACTCTCAGAGATGGAGGGAGGCAGGGAATGAATGATTTCCAAATGGCTTAAGTTCTAGTCACACTGGGTCTAGGGCCCATGTCAAGGTCGCACAGCAAGTCTGTGAAGGAAGGCTGAAGGGCAGCAGTGAGAAACCCCCAGGAGTCCACTGGACCGCAAACAACCCAGAAGCTTGGCGCCCTCTGGTGGAGACCATCCTTAAAACCCTGCCACCTCAGGTTCCAAGGGGAAGACATCTCTAGATCCTGAGTAGGCTGTGCCACTTTCCCCCAGTGGCCAGCAGGCAGGTGTTTCAGGAAACACAAAGCAAGAGACAAGACAGTCAGGTTCTCTGAGAACTTAAATACTCCCTCACCACAGAGGGGGAGAGGCTGGGGGGGGGGAGGGTTACAACAGAGGTAGTGGCCCAGGAGAGGGGGTGGCCCAGAGAAGGGCGCTCCACAGGTGCCTGGGACACAGTAAATAGCAGGTCAGCTAAAGCCAACCCCAGTGAGGCACATCTAAACCCCAGTGAGGGGTTCAAATGACAGGAGTAGGAAGAGAGGGGGTTCCCTGAGGCTTTCTGCCCCTCCCTGGAAGACGGACGCAGATATGGCCACTGCCATCACACAGAGTTGCAGAGGCCTCGGATTCCAGGGATGCAGGGAAGACCCAGCATTAAATACATTATAAATAGGGAGCCGGGGCAAGTTAATACTGTGCGCAAAGGTGCCCTTCACATTCCTCATGTCTGGTCAGGGACCAGGGCCTTGGCCCTGCTCCCAGTGATGCTGCTGGCCCCTGAGATGCTGCTGCCCTTGGCTACCAGTGACCAGCAGCCAGGGTGCTGACCAGAATCCCCAGCAGTCTTAAGTCCCAAGACTCCCAGGCACAAGGGTCCAGAGGTTCATGGCTGCTTTGTCTTGTTCCTGTTCTTCTGGAGTTTGGCGTGCACAACTTTGAGTGTGGTCAGGAAATTGCCAAGGAAGAGGATGAGGAAGGTGAGTGCCAGCACAAATACCTGGTCCATCCAGACGTGCAGCACCCAGCAATGCCCGGGGCAGGGGAGGAAGGAGAAGCTAGAGTCAATTCCCCTGCAGAAGAACCTGCCTAACCTCAGCCCCCAACCTTAGCAAAGCCATAGGAGCCACCAGCAAAGCATGGAAGTAGGTGAATAAGTGCAGGTGGGGTTCTGGAAAAGTGGGGTAACCCTCCTTCATTCAACAACACTGAGGGCCCCCCCCCCGACCTCTCGAATTCCTTCCTACTATTTCCTCTCATGCCCCAGCAGCAGAAAACCCTGGGCAGCACGAACCCAGAGCCAAGAAACAAGGGAACAAAAGAGTCCTCCTCAAGGCAGCCCAGCCCTCTTCAAGCTCCCACCTCCTCGCTACCAACAGACAGACAGACAGACATGTGTAGGCGTGGTACCTGCCATTCTTTGCATTCCTCGTGGCTGGAGAGTTCAAACAGGGTGACCGCATTGTAGAGCTGCCAGAACTGGAGACAGGAAGACAGGCAGCACTCACCTGTCAGCTTCCCTGCAGACCCATGTGGAAAGCCAGGGAGATGGACCAGGCCCCCCAGCATCCGAGACCAACTACCCAAAACATTGGCACCCCCATTCTATGGAACCACAAGTGTCTCAGAGACAGCAAGTCTGAAGGGCCAGCTCTTTCTATCTTTAGTGTCCCTAGATTCTGCGGAAATGGGGGCGGGAGTGGGGACTACCTGAGATTTTCCACTTCTTCAGAGAGACTGGCCCTATCCTGCACTATGGCCCCGGGAGGCTTTGATGCTCAAGCATTAAAACTATCACAACAGGGAGCCAGGTGGGGGTGACATTTGTATGGGGGGTTATCTCCTCCCAGATACCCAGGGACAGATACCTTGTAAGGGAGGGGAGCCCCAAGGATCTTCTGTTCCCAGGGGTCATCCCTGAGAGGGGTACCCACATAAAAAGGGACTCACATGGCCACAGAAAAGGAAAGGCAGGAGGAAGGTGAGGCCCCGCCACATCCAAGACTGGAACCCTTCTGTGGGGGAGAGTTAAGAGGTTTAGTATGTGTAACTGCTTAAAAAACAGCACAGTCTCTTTGTTGCCCAGGCTGACCTCAAACCTGTGGCCTCAAGTGGTTCTCTGAAGTCAGCCTCCCAAGTAGTTGGGACTTCACATATTTCCCACCACACCCGACCTAACATTGTGTATATTATAAAGTTCAGACTTTAAAATATAGGCACTTCCATGGAGAGGCCTAGCACTGTGCTGTGGCCACACCTGGAGCTGAAACAGAGGTCCCCAGTGAATTATGAACAGCAGTAGTGTAAAGAAAGAACGGCGGCCCAGTGTTGAGGCCTGGAAGTCTTAGGCCCTCCCGATTCTGTGCCTCTCCTGCAGGGAGGTGGACCAGTCTTCCCAGCTCTACCTGCTGCCCAGTTACTCACCCACTGTGAGGTCCAGGTGGTTCCTCTCCCCCAGGGCTCGCAGTCTGTAGAGACAGCCTCTCTGGTAATAGTACTGCAGGAACTGAACACAGCCTGTAGGGGGAGCACAGTGCCCAGGCTCAAGGAGAATATACCCAAGGCCTCTCTCCCCAAATCCAATGCCCTCAACAAAGGCAGGCTGACTGGAAGGGCAGAAAGAGCATCCTGGTGACCTGCTTTCTTTATTTTAATAAGTCACCACAGGTATACTTCTATGTCTCTACCTCATTTTAGCAGTGTGTTTCCCTGAGCGAGGAACCACCTCCCCTTCCTCTTGGTCATAATGTTGCCTGTTGCTCCCAGCATAATCTCGCATAGCTTGCATTCCAAAAAGCATTTACTGAGGGCCTACTGCTAGCCTAGGAAAATTCCAGTCGTTCTTAATCTGGTTGGTGCTTTGGTGGGTCATTACACGGCTGAGCAGTCCGTACTGTAAGTGATAAAACATGTTCAGACAAGTATAAAAGACTGCCTTGGGGCAGGAGATAGATGACCTAGATTTCTGGCCAGAACCCTCTCCGCCCTCCACACAGGTGAGGATGGATCTTCTGGGGACCTCCTCATCTGTAAAATCCCTTGGGAGACCAGGTCCCTCCTCCTCAACTGGGCTTGAGTACTCACTCTGAAAAATGGAGAATGCTAAGAACTGATTTCGAAACTTCTGATAAATTAGTCCATTAGGCCTTGAAAAAACACAAAGGTGGGACACACTGTGAAACCAGACATTCTCTTAGACCCCTTTTTCTCATTCCAACAGAAAGGAAAGAAAACTTTTGAAAGGTAAAACAAACTCCCAGATTCCTGTCCTTTGTCCTTGGGCTGATCAGGCCACACCCATCACCCTTTCCAGAATTAAGGGACTTCGGGGTCACTCTGATTCCTCATGCTGCTCCCTGTCACCTCTGCCCCAGCCAACAGGAACTGTGAAATAGTCCCTGGCAGCGGGGCCTCTAACCCAGTTTTCAGTTCATACTTGCTTTCTACCTGACCCACAAGTCAATTTTGAGAACCCTTCCCCATGTACCAGCTGCAGTTCTGGCTCCATGGGAAGCGGGGGGAGGGTCAAAGGGCCCAGTGAGGGATGACTCACCAAGTCAGCATCACTCCAGACAGGAACGTGGAGACGTAATGGTGAGACACCCACCAGCCTTTGATTCTTGATGAGAACAAGAGAAAGAAAGGGGTTCAGATGAGAGAAATGCAGGGACCTGCTTCCTAACCTCCGAGCCTGCAGCTGGAATGAGAAATGGGCCCCAACCATGCCTTATCTCTTCTTGCAAAGGTATGGGCCCAAACTACTTGCAGATTAGCCCAGGGACCTGTTCTGTGACCTACAGAACACATCCAGTTCCCCAGCACGGAGATACTCCAAGCCTAATGCTACCCAGGCTCCATGCTGGACTGAACTATGTTCTCAGGTTCCTATGCTGGAGCTCAGTCCCCTGGTGCCTTCCAGCAAGACTGCATCTGCAGAGGTAAGTGAGCTTAAGACGACACAAGGGGGAAGCCTTCATCGACCATCTTTGCCCTAGTGTCTCTGTAAGAGATGGATCAGGAAGATTGGAACACAGAGGGAAGGCCATACAGAGCACAAGATGGGAAGGGAGCCATCTGCAAGCCAGGAGAGGCAGGAAACCCACACTGATGACACCTGGATCACAGACCTGCAGCCCCCAAAGCCACAGAAAAGCAATGTCTGCTGGTTAAGATGTCCAGTGTGTCGTATCTCGTGGGAGCCCCATAAACAGACGCAGGTCCTTCACTTCCACCCAAAGGCCTAAAACAGTTCCACAACCCCCACTGGTGACAGGATTCTGGTTTTCATTTTCTCAGGAGGCAGAGGCAGGAGGCAGATCACCTGAGAGTTCAAGACCAGCCTGGTCTATATAATAAGACCCTGTCCCATAAGGGTCTGCCGTTGGGAAAGGGGATGATGCTATGGCTTTCTTCGCAGTGGGAAAGTCTGTTGACTGCAGCTGACATGGCTCTACGCTGTCACCTTGACTGAAAGCAGGTAACAACATGAATGAAATGATGTTCCAGGGGCTGTGGCTATTGAGAGAAGTAGCCTGAAACCAGCCCTGGTGACACAAGCCTGTAATCCCAACACACAGAAGGATCTTGAGCACAAGGCCAGCCTGGGTCACACACTGAAAAAGAAAGAGGAGCTGGAGAGACGGCTCAGTGGTTAGGAAGAGCACCCACTGCTCTTCTAAAGGACCTGATTTCGGTTCCCAGTACCCACGTTAGGTGTCTCACAGCCACCAGGGGATCCGACGGCTTTGGCCACTGTCTTAGTTGAGGTTTCTATTTGCTGCAACAAAAATCATGACAGTACACTTCCACATTGCTGTTCATCACTGAGGGAAGTCAGGACAGGAACTCAAATAGGACAGGAGCCTGGAGGCAGGAGCTGATGCAGGCGACATGGAGGGGTGTTGCTTACTGGCTGGCTCCCCATGGCTTGCTCAGCCTGATTTGTTATAGAACCATGGACCACCAGCCCAGGGGTGGCACCACCCACAATGGGCTGGGCCGTCTCCCACTGATCACCCACTGATCACTAATTGAGAAAATGCCTTACAACTGGACACATGGAGACAGCTCCTCAACTGAGGCTCCTTCCTCTCTGGTGGCTCTAGCTTGGGTCAAGCTGACACACAAAAGCAGCCAATCCAGCCTCCAGAGGCAGCCACACGCACGTGCTCACACTGACATGCACACACACACACTCCTGCACATGATTTCAAATTACAAGAGGAAGAAAGAGGGGAAAAGAAGCAGTAGGCCTAATGCCATCCACATTGACGTGACAGAGGAGATCAGGACTAGACAGTTAGCTACTCTGTCCCCAGTACCCATTCAGCCCTAATGTAACCCTTCGGCCACTCGGCATCTAGAAGACCCTGGCTCCAGTTTCCTAACAGTAAAGGCAGCTAGCCAGGTCCTCAGACTTTCCGCTCAACAAGCAACCAAGAGGTCTGGCTGCCCCTCCCCAGAGCTCTGCAAGGCCATGCCACAGCCCTCGGAGCTTGGCCACCCCCAGGCTCCTTTGTCCTACTATGCACAAAGCTCCCCTGAGAAACGCCCTCTCCTGGTGTGGGAGCAGTTCGGGCTTGATAGAGACCCCGGGCAACAAGCCTGACTGAGCAGCAGCTTTTAATTTCACAGCTCGCTGTGCCCAGAGCCCAGCACTGACAGATGCCACCAATAAACACAGCTCGGCGACACTAGAAACTAGAAATCCACTTTCTTCCCCAGCTCCGTGCTCATGAGCAACCACTGTCATTGTCTGCATTCCCTAAGGCTCTGGGCCGGTTCTGTGCACATGTGTTTATGTAACAGTTTTCATCGTAATAGAATTCAGATACTGAACAATTCAGTGGGTGTGAGTCTTTTCAGAGCTGTGCCACCAGCACTACGATCACCCTTATTCGACCTGGACCTGTCTGCTATGGATACGCAGCTTGCAGGGAGCTTGTAGGCTCCAGGAGCAGGTGCACTTGCATCTAGAATGTGGAGACAGAATGTACTAGTCTCTGGGCACTGTGTGGGAGAGAGCTCACTGCTTCTCCCTGCAGGACACATCAGCCTGCGCATATGCAGAGCAGAGGTGCGCCAGGCACTCACTGTTCAGTACCAAGTAGCTTCTGGTTTTAGGCTTTGGATTTGCAGAATAGCTGGAGGCTGCATTGAAGACTCTCTCTCTCTCTCTCTCTCTCTGCCTGCTACCTTCTGGATACATTTGTTCTAAGTATAGCCCCTAAAAAAGCCAGCGGGAGCCAGGGACCATGGCTGGATACATCTAGATACATTTGTTCTAAGTGTAACCCCTAAAAAACCCAGCTGGAGCTGGGGACCACGGCTGGCTCCTTGGAATAAGTCTACATGATTGCGGATTCTTCAGTCATTCTGGCCCATTAGAAAAGGCTCTTTTGCCATCTGCCAATCATCATCAGTCCTTCTGGTTCCCAGGCCTCTGCTTCCTTAAGGGGCAGCACCTCACCCAGGCAGGGATATGAATGGAGATGTCTGGGCACACAGAGCGGAACCAGCCCTCTGGGTTCTACAGCCCTCCAAGTCACAGTGATTGGCTCAGAAGTCAGCAAGCGACTCAAGCTTCACCAATCAGAAGTCTGTCTCAAGACCCCCCACTGGCTCTGTGGGAATGACAGGAAGGCTTCTTCCTACTCAGAGGTTGATGAGATAGGGAGGCAGCCTGGGCTGTGGGGAGTGAAAGGGGGGGGCTATTAATCTTGCTATTAACCCTTCATGCCTTCTTAAATCCCTTCAGATTTGGCCCATTAGGTGGGTTTCCAACACTTGCAAAATGCAAGGGAAAGCTGACTGATTACAGAGCTAACTGACATCTGTGGTGGAGTCAGACTCACCCAGGGCTGTCCTTCTCAAAGTAAGACAGTCCCACCCTACCGCCCCAGGCCCACTCTCCCTGACTTCCTTCTGTTTCAATTCTGCTGTTTCTACAAAACACACTGAGCTTATGGTTCTGCCGTTCACCTGAGAGTCCATCAGCGGGCCCAGTCCATCTGAGCCCGTTTATTTCTGTGTCCATGTGTCTCTGTGCGTCTGCCTTTTCTTCATTCCCTCAATGTCCCAGTCAGCTCTGTCCCTGGAGCTGTGATGGACGCAGCATCCAAGTCTGGCCAATCGCAGCTTTGCATTCTCTGGTGACAGACTGGTCAGAGACAGGCACGGAGTCCGGCCAGTGCCTGCACACAGCCAATGGGACAAGGCTGGGAGACTCTCAGGAGAAAGGAAATGTGCCCTGTTTGCTAGGAGTGATGGTGTAAGGTTGTTGCAGCACCCTATATAAAGCCTGAGACCCGAGAGCACAGAATGGGGTGAGGTGAGAGATAGCGAGAAACAGCATCACTCACGGTGTCTGAGCCCCGAATGAAGCCTTACCTGGAGTCAGTCCCAAAACCTGTTTTTATGAGAGACGACAGATCTCTAATGACATGAAATCAGACGGACTAGGGTCTCTGTCGCTTGACAGCGAGAGGCTGACCGTGAAGTAGGTGACATTACACCAACAGCATCAGGCATGGTCTCCCCCACCCTGGCTCCCTCTTCCCCCAACCGACCATCCCCACGAGCTGGGCATCTAGGTACCTGGAGCCATTGCTGATGAGAACGCTCTCCCGAATGGTCAAAGTGCAGTAATACCACACGAGCAGGAAGTTGAAGATTTCATCTGTCACCCTGGTTGGAAGAAACAGCCCCCGGGGAAGTGAGCAGCATTGAGCTCGCCCCTCGCCCTGACAAGACAGCCAGGACCAGAACTGCCAAGATTTGGCACCAGTTCTTGGGTGTCTCCTTTTGCCCACACCCAGCCCCTGTGCCATCTCTATCTGGCCCCGCCTACACCCGAAGAAGGTCTAACAGAGGCTTCCTCCCTCGCCAACCAGCTCACACAGCAACTGGACTGTAACAGGTTTAAGCTGGAAAATGTCAGTGCAGTGAATGATGATGACCACGTGACAGAGCCGGGAAGAGCTTGCTGGGAATTCGGAACCGGCAGGGTCCTGTGACATCCTGACCTCTCACTTCCGGCCCCCAGAATGCTGATAGAAATGGGTTTTTGTTGTGTTCTCCAGTTGGTGAAATTTTTTTTAAAGATTTATTTATTTATTTATTTATTATGTATGCAACATTCTGCCTCCATGTATGCCTGCACGCCAGAGGAGGGTACCAGATCTCATTACAGATAGTTGTGAGCCACCATGTGGTTGCTGGGAATTGAACTCAGGACCTCTGGAAGAGCAGCCAGTGCTCTTAACCACTGAGCCATCTCTCCAACCCCTCCAGTTGGTGAAATTTTGAGAGATGTGTGCATAAGAAGGAGAAATGGGAATGTCCAGGTTCCAGGTGAGGTTTAGACAATGATGTCCTGGGAAGAACCCAGCAGCCCCAGCTAAGGGCCTGTGACTACACACCAAGAACTCCTCTCTCTTCCAAAGGGGCAGATGAGCAGGCATTACTTGTGTGCACAGCCTTTGCCCTCGGGGGCACGAGTCAGACACTGGCAGCAGGCAGGCATGAGCTAAGAGCCTGCAAGGGCCTTTGTTGAGAAACTCAAGTAGCCAGGCCAACAGCTGGACTCTCAGCAAAGTACGTGCAGAAAGCAAACCTGGACACTTAGGCCAATGCATGAGTCTACTTGGCTACCCCTCCCCCTTTATGGCAGAAAACCCAGGCAGAGAGGAGTGGACCAGACCCTTTTGGCAGGAGGGCTCCATTCTTAGCTCAGTTCTGTCTGCCCTCCCTCTCTTTTTAGTCAGTGACGGGCAGACACTGAGTACTAGCACACACAGTGTGAGCTAGCTGAAGGGCTACCCTACGAAGTATGGCCTGCTGCCACTGTCTAACAAATGGAGGAATGAGACTCCACAGGGAATCTGCCTGTAGACAGAGCCATTCAGTCTCAAAGCCAGGATTGGAATCCAGGTAGCCTGGAATAGCTTTTTTTGTTCTTGCATGCATCAATCTTTTCTTTTTCTGTTTCTGAGACAGGGTCTCATGCACCTGACTCTGGCCTCCAACTCTCCTGTAGCCAGTGATGACCCTGAACTTCTGATCCTCCTGCCTCTACTCTCTGAGAGCTGGGATCACAGGGATGAACCACCAAACCTGGCTTATTCAATGCTGGAGACCGAACCAAGGTCTCTTTGCATACCAAGCAAGCACTCTCCCAACTAAATTACATCTTCATCCCTATTGATTTAGTTATTATGTAATTGAGATGTAATTCGCATACTGTAAAATTTTCTCTTTTAGGCCGGGCGATGGTGGCGCACACCTTTAATCCCAGCACTCAGGAGGCAGAGGCAGGCGGATCTCTGTGAGTTCGAGACCAGCCTGGTCTACAGAGCTAGTTCCAGGACAGGCTCCAAAGCCACAGAGAAACCCTGTCTCGAAAAAAAAAAAAAATTCTCTTTTAAGGTATGTAATCTGAAGGCTAGGGAGTGAACGCCTTTAATCCCCGCACTCAGAAGGCAGAGGGAGTGGATCTCTGTGAGTTCTAGGCCAGCCTGGTCTACAGAGTGAAGTCCAGGCCAACCAGGGCTACAAAGAGACCCTATATCAAAAAAATAAATTAAAAAACTTTTAAAGGAGATATAATTTGGCATCCTTTGTTCATTTTCTTACACTACTGCCTAATCTCTATTGGAAATGCTGGTACCCAGGAACTGTCTGTCATTCCCCATTCCTGTTTCCCCTGTCAAGTTCTGCCCCCCATTATGTGTCTCCGAGGCTGCCCCTCTGGACATTTCATATCAATGGACATACATAATATGTGGCCTTTTATGCCTGGCGCCTTTCACTTAGCATGATGTTGTCAAAGCTCACCCATGCTGCAGCATGTCAGCATTGTACTCCATGTTAAGGCTGTCGCATTCCAGCGTACATATAAACCACACTGGACTCGGTGAGTTACTACATCATGAGGCCCTGCCAGCAGCTGGTCCATGAAGCTTACTAGATGGACGGGAATGCCACTTCCTGCCGGTCAGAACTGGTCCTTACCAACCCTATACTAGCCTCGGGCTGAGGAAACTGAAAGACTGTCTCCTTGAGGACTTCCTGCTCACACTGAAGGTACTCCACCACACTCCGCCACGCCCCATTACCTGTAGTGAAGGACAAAGCGGCAGGCCACAGCACCCAGAAGCAGGATTATGGTCAGGTAGAGCTTGAACTTCTCATACTCGTCCTTGTATGCAAACCTGCCACGACAGACATCCCAGGAAAAGTCTCATATTGCTACCCTCCTGCTCCGACTCACCAGCCACCAGCCCTGCCTCCGCACTGACGGACAACAGAACCTGACCTTCAACTAGTGATGTCTAGTGAAGGAGAGAGGACCAGCTACAAAAGGGCCCTGTCCCTAGGCTTTGGGACCATGCTGGGGACAGGCAAGGGTCAAAGACTGAAGGCCAACACAAATAAAATTCAAAAGACGAGATCTCTACCCTCACCTAAAGATTGCAGCAGAAACAAAGACCAATGCCACCTGGAAACAGCACCTCGACTGGTTGGGCAGGACTCTATTCTCCAGACAGATGCCGTGATAAGGTGTAGGAAAGAGGAGACTGCTGTCATGGGAATTGGGGGTGGGGGTCCTAGCAAACCAACATACTGACTCTTGGAAAGGAAGGAGAGGGCCCCCCAAGTGCTCCCCCATGTTGAGGAATATTATTTTCAGGTGTGTGACTTCTGTTTATGCTGCATTTGTTTAACTCCTTCAAGTTACTGTGCTTGTCTAAAACACCCGATGGTCTAATAAAGAGATGAATGGCCAATAGTGAGGCAGGAGCAAGGACAGGCGGGGCTGGCAGGCAGAGAGGATCGGAGGAGAAATCTGAGAGGAGAACAAGGAGCAAAAGAACAAGGAGAGGAGGACGTCAGGGGTCAATCACCCAGCCAGCCTTGGAGAAAGAAGTAACAAAGGTATACAGAAATAGAGAAAGATAAAAGCCCAGAGGCAAAAAGGTAGTTGGGTTAATTTAAGAAAAGTTGGCAAGAAACAAGCCAAACTAAGGCCGGGCATTCATAACCAAGAATAAGCCTCTGTGTGTGATTTATTTGGGAGCTGGGTGGCGGGTCCCTCAAAAAAACCAAAAGAATAAAACATCACACACCACTGAGGTGGGCAGGGTCAGAAAGCCAGATGGTCAGAGCCTCAACTGCTAATGAGTTTGATCCATGCAAAGACTGTCTCCGAGTAAAAGGAAGAAGGGCGGCTTCCCCGGCGTCAGTTGGTATCTGGGCATACTCACTTGGCCTGGTTGCTAAGGAGAGTCACGTTGACGTTGCCAAGGACCAGATTCAGGTAGAGCCTGGAAGGAAAGACCTGTGAGGGTGCAACCAGTCCTTTTCAAGCTTGGTGAATGCACACTGAGTCTCACAGTAGAAAACAGGGTGCTAAGCTAACAGTCCAGTGGGCCCCACCATGGCTGGGAATAATGGTAAACCAGAGAGCATGGCAGCTGCATACGGGACAGTGTGGCCATCTGCCTCCCCACTGAAGCTAACTAACAGGCCTTATCTCCCACCCTCCTTGGCATCCAGGTAAGAGCAGATGACTAACTTACAAAGAGTCAAAGACATTTATCCAACATCTAGGTCAATTTTAAAAAAATTCTAAGCCAGCTGGGAGGTAGTGGTGCACGCCTTTAATTCCAGCACTTGGGCAGCAGGGACAGGCGGCTCTCTGGGTTTGATTTGAGGCCAGCCTGGTCTACAGAGCTAGTTCCAGGACAGCTAGGAACTAGCTTGGAAGAAAAAAAAAAAAGTACATGCTGCTAAGCCTGATGACCTGAGTACAATCCCTGGAACTCCTGCAAGGTGTCCTCTGATCTCCATAAAGATGCCAAGGACACGTGTGTGCCCACAAACATGCACACACATAAATAAACGTAGGAACATAAGCACTCATTTTCCACTGGGTATACACGCTAGAAGGGTATGTTGGGGCCATGGTGTATGCTGTTTAACTGTTAGAAGACATGGCAGCAGCTCTCTTGTAAAAAGGGATCATTTACTTCCTTCCCTCTCTTTTCCCTTCCTGAGGCTGCGATGGTGGGAACTGTCTTTGTCCTCAGAGAAGAAGACAGCTACTGAGGGGTGGAGAAGTTTCAGCCAGAGAACCACAGGCCCCTTGATGATCTCGTGATTCTTCACGACAGAGAAGTAAACTCTCACACTCACATGCTCTTTCTCTCTGTGTGTATGGGTGTTTTGCTCCTGTGTACATCTGTACACTTGTGTAGTACCTTCAGAGCTGATAAGAGGACATCAGGTCCCCTGGAACTATAGTTATAGAGAGTTGCCAACCACCACGTGAGTGCTGGGAATTGAACCCAGGTCCTCCGCAAGAGCAACAGGTGTTCCTAACCACCTGAGCCATGGCTCCAACCCCAGGAGAAGCTCTCTTTTGTGACCCAAGTATGGCTAGGCCTCTCTCTGTGCAGCAGCCCGTGCTCTAACACACTGACGAACGTGCCAACAGAGGACCCTGAGACCCTGAGGCAGAAGGGCTTTGGAAAGTCTCCACCGAGGCGATGGCGTATGAATGGAGCTTTGAAGAACAAGTGGAAGATGGAGGAATAAGAGCAGGGGGCTTTCTTTCTACTAGGAGTGGCTTTGCGGGACACTGCCAGTCTGCAGAAGATATAAGGTATTAAGAGGACCTGTATGTCTTACCTAGCACCCAGTCCCTACATCCTGCAAAGGCAATGCAATCCCTTCAGAGAACAATCCCCCCTCCCCACCAGTGCCTCCAAAGGCACATGAACATAGCTTTATCAAAGCAGGACATCCTCCTGATTGGGTTAAGATTGGTCACGGGACACAATCTAACCCAATAAAAACCCATCCTAGAATTTTAAGTCCCTGAGACCACTGGGGAACCAGGAAAGGCTAGGCACGTAGGAGCAAGCCTAGCATGGCCAGGGAGTATTTATAGAGAAAGACTGCCCGTAAATAGACAAATATACACACTGGAAAAGACAGTTAAAAAAGTTAAATGAGAAGTGGATTCTAACAGCATCTGAATGGCAGGATCCATTCAGACCTGATCTATATTTGTGCTATATCTGAGCTATAAACCCCTCATTTCTTCTGAAGCAACTTTGAGCTGTCTAGCCTGGGTGACAAGACTCCCAACTGATGCAAACCGCCCAAACTGCCAGGGAAGTGAGTTTGAGCAACTCAGTCCAAGAGGCCATGAATGATGAAGGAAGGTGTGCTGTTAACAGGACTGCCAACTAACCTGGAGAGACTTTAACCCAAATACAGCAAAAAAGGAAAACTGAGGGGTGGGTTACAATGTCCCAGGGCCACCATATTTTAATACCCATCTGGCTAAGGCTCAACAGGAATCTTCCCCAGGAAAGATCTGACTCCACACAAGGCTAAACCCTGCTTCAAAACCAGAAAGTAAATAAGTGCAGAGTGTGGCACACACCTGTAATTACAACACTCAGGAGGTGGAGACAGGAGGATCACCCCCAGTTGAGGGTAGCTTGGTCTACAGAGAGTTCCAGGTCAACCAGAGCAATATAGTAAGGCCCTTCTTCTTAAAAGATTGAAAGAAAAAAATGGCTGGGGATGTAGCCGCGTCTAGAACGTTGCCTAGCATATAAGGATGCCCTGGTTTCCATCCCAGAAGGAAACAAAAGCGGGGAGCACTTCGATCTAACAGAGCAGCTTGTTGGGGATAAAACAATTGCTCCAGGGGCATGACCAGTACAGTGCTGGGCACGCAAAACTCACTCAACACATGTCCTGAGAGAGAACGCTCTCCTCCTAGCCCCGGTGGCACACATGGGTATCAGGTGCCAGCTCACAAGAGTCACGCTGGGAACGTCACTGCCAGCCACAGGGGAAGGACTGCAGCTCCTCCGGGATCAGGAGGTGCAGGTACAGAATTTCCCTCTCCTCCTTGTCCTCATTCCCCCCTTTTCCTCTGAATCTCATGCCCTAGCGGGAGGGGGGGGTCCACAACAGGAATCAGAGGGTTCCCACTCCTACCCATTCTTCTTCGGTAGGTAGGCCTCCATGTCGAAGAAGACATTCTGTCGCTCCTTAATGTTGGCGCCTATCTGCTGAATGAGCTCTGCCTCCTCTTGACTGGAATGGTGCTTGCACCTGCAAAGGGAGTGATGCTGAGCTCCTCTAGCCTTGAGATCTTGGCGATGCCACGGCCCATGCCTGACAGATAAGGGTGGCATTCACAAACAATAGCCACGTAATGAGGTGAGCGGGTGCAGTGAGGCATCGGGAATGACGCTCAGCATCAGTAGCTGGCGGACTTGGGTGGGCGGCTAAGCTGTTCTCTTCTACTGTAACAGATCTTAAAGATTCCCAAGTGGACTGACTGAGCGGCATGAGGAAGTATCGGCAGTTAACCAATCAAGGTCTTCCTGCTGCTCTTTGGAGAGATGCCATTATCAAAACTAGAAAACCAGCCGGGCAGTGGTGGCACATGCCTTTAATCCCAGCACTCAGGAGCACTCAGAATTCAGGTCCAGTCTGGTCTACAAAGCAAGTCCCAGGATAGTCAGGGGTACACAAAGCGATCCTGTGTTGAAAAACCAAACCTCCAATCCCAAAACCCATAAAAGGGAAGAAGCAAAGGCATTTGGGAGAGAGAAGCAGAAGGATTGAGATTTCAGGTCATCCTTGGATATAGCCAGTTTGAGGTCAGCTTGGGCTCCAAGTGACCCTGTCTTTAAACGAAGAAAAATAGAACCATATTGATGCCACATCCTGGAACGGAAGGGTTCCTCAGTCTAGGACCCTAACTGACGGGTCAACCTTCCTCAGATGGTGCTTCTATTGTGATGCCACTGAGCAGCGTCTGTCACAGCTGTCACAGCCGGGCTGGGCGGCACAGCTGTATTTCCTGGGATTCTGATGAGCAGCCACAGTGTCTGAACAGTCTGAGCAGTGTCTGTCACAGCCGGGCTGGGCGGCCCAGCTGTATTTCCCGGGGTTCTGATGAGCAGCCACAGTGCCTGAACAGTCTGAGCAGCACTTATTAACAAGACAGGCTACAAGGCTCAGGCTTCCTCAGTCAGGAAGGGCCAGAGGATCTACGATCAGCATGCAGGTGGCCACCTCAGTGACCATGACAGTAAAGCCAATCTAGAGAAAAGCAGAATTCAAAGGAAAACAACACCCTCTGACCCCTGCGTCCAGGGATGCCTGAAGCTAGCCTTGGTTTTTTTCCACTAAAATTTCCATTTTCAGACGGGCGGTGGTGGCGCACACCTTTAATCTTAGCACTTTAATCTCAGCAGAGGCAGGCGGATCTCTGGGAGTTCGAGGCCAGTCTGGTCTACAAGAGCTAGTTCCAGGACAGGCACCAAAGCTACAGAGAAACCCTGTCTCAAAAAACCAAAAAAAAAAAAAAAAATTCCATTTTCTTCTTAAGCCAGTTTTGAGTTGGGTTTCTGTCCTTTAGGACTAAGGGACTAGGACTAAGGGTGCTCACTTCACGTGTGCAAAGAAAGCCCTGGGTTCCATCCCAATGAACCCAGAACTGTGCAAACCACGCCATGCTGGTGGCTGACACCTGTGATCCCAACTCAGTGAGGATGGTGGGCCAGAAATTCAAGGTCATCCTCACCAGAGTGAGACCAGTGGGGGTAGGGGAGTAAGAGGCCCTGGGAGGCTTTCAAGCCACGCCCTCTCACCTCTGGAGCATGCGCTTCAGGTCCCTGAGGTGCCGCTTCTGCTTGTTGATGGAAGTGCTGCACAGAGTCTGTAGCGCTGTCAGCTCCTCCAGCTTCTGCCTGTAGATCCTGTGCGTCTCCTGAAGGGCAGAGCAGCGTGACGGGAGGGTGGGACACACACACAGCATTCTCACAGGGCTGGAGACCCAGCTGGAGAGATCTCGGTGACAGCTATCATGGTACAACTCTCAGGGCCACAGCTTTGACCAAGGAAGGCGGCCGTGGAATAAGAGCCAGCTTTGCCCAGCACTCAGTCCTGATTTTTTTTTTTTTAAGACTGTGTCTCTCTCTCCGTGTAGCCCTGGTTGTCCTGGAAGTCAATGTGTAGATCAGACTAGCCTTGAACAGTGATTCCCCCAGCCCCCATCTCTAAGTGCTGGTATTAAAGAAGGTGTACCTATTTCATTCTATCAGACATGAACAACCAAACATGATGTAGAAAGGTTACCTTGCATTGTGTGTATGTGCGCACGCATGTGTGTATGTGTGTGTGTGTGTGTCTGTCTGTCTGTCTGTCTGGGGGTTGAGGCTAATAACTTGTGCATTCCAGGCAGAATTCCTACCACTGGGGTACATCCTCAGTCTCCCTGCCACATATTTCTTCTTGATTTTGTGGGACCAGGTTTCGTGTATCCCAGGACGGTGCTGAACTCGCTATGTAGCTGAAGATGAACCTGAACGCCTGATTCTTCCACTCCTACCTCCTAAGTACGAGGATGATACCCAGATACCAACACCCGCAGGTCTTTATGCATGCCAGGCATGCACTCTGCCAAGTTAACTACATCCCAGCCAAGCCTTTGTCAACTCTTCATCTACGTGGTTCAGCAGAGCAGAACACACCCGGCACGGCTGGTCACATATCCAGTACCAGCCCATCATCATCCTCTAGTCTGATTGGCTCAGAGATGAGCACGTGGTTCCTACTGACCCAGTGAGAGCCAGTCCTGGGACTTTGGAGGGAAAGATTAGACAAGAGATGTCTTTTCCTCTGGGTATGCCCACTCTAGCCTGAAGTCAGACGTGGACAGAGAACCCAGAGATGATAAGATGGAATCCTGACAGCATCTGCTATGACCTGGGTTTGTGACAAAGGTGCATGTGGGTCCTCAATGTCATGACACTGGGATGTACGGGGATCTTTAGGAGCTGTTAAAGGTCTGAGCTGAGGAGTCAGTTAAGTCTCATGAGACTAGATGCGGACACGCAGGAGCAGACTGGTGCTTCCCCCTCAATCTCCCAGCGCATGCTCTTCCATATACATCCACTCCACGATGCACATCATGACCCTGCCCAGATGTGGCTCTCAAGCTTGGATTCAGCCTCTCAAACAATGAGCCAAAGCAGACCTCTTCTCCTTATACAGTGCCCAGTAGCAAGTTTTGTGTTTGTTTTTTAGTTTTTCTTTTTCTTTTTTTTTTTTGGTTTTTTTCAAGACAGGGTTTCTCTGTGGCTTTGGAGCCTGTCCTGGAACTAGCTCTGTAGACCAGGGTGGTCTCGAACTCACAGAGATCCGCCTGCCTCTGACACCCGAGTGCTGGGATTAAAGGCGTGTGCCACCATCGCCCAGCTGTTTTTTAGTTTTTCAAAACAGAGTTACTCTGTGTTGCCCTGGCTGGCCTTGAACTCACAGAGATCCACAAGCCTCTGCTGGGATTAAAGATGTGCACCACCACCGCCCAGCCAGTCTCAAGTATTTTATTTCTGGTTGTGAGCCTTTTAACAGCTGAGCCAACCCTTCAGCCCCCAAGTATTTTATAGTAACAATATGACACAAATTTCAGCTCTTGGGTGTGAGTCGTAAGTGGTACGGACCCATAAGCTCCTTTCTACTTCCTGTGCACTTTGAGTTTCTGATCCTCAGTGTGAAGAGAACTCTTGCTAAGTCAACTAAGAGAAGCTCCTATTCCCTCCCTTAAAGCCATCTTCCCTGCCCCAGACATCACCACTCAATAAACTTTATATTCCTTCTTGGAAATAACCCTTCTGTGCCATATAACAAGAGACTTATCCCAATGTTGGGAGAAGGCAACAAAGTCCTCAAATTATTGCCTCACTCGACTCCCAGTAAGTAACTCTGTGGAGGTGATGGGAGAAAGAAGGAGGGTGCAGAACATGAAGCCAAAAATCAATGAGCAGTAGGCATAATTCAAAGAGCCATGTTCATTCCTTTCTGGTTGACCTGCAACTCTTAACTGAGTTAAGGAATGGCCTTAACTCAGAGATCTGAATGCTTCTTCAGGCCAGGTGCACCATGCCTGACTTCAACAGCCGAGTTCTTAGCTTCTACAGACGCATGCTTACCAGAGGGGAGAAGGAGGGGAAGCAAGGTACAGTCTACACTAGCATGTCTGTCAAGAAAACAGTAAGTTAAAGCAGAAAATTAGAAAGCAAGAAAAATATCAAACAGACCATGAACAGGTAGCAAACGCCTTTAATCCCAGCACTTAGGAGGCAGAGGCAGGCAGGTCACTGCTAGTCAAGCCCAGCTACACAGCAAATTCAAATCCAGTCAGAGCTGCGTAGTGAGACTATGTCTCAAAAAAGAAAAAAAGGAGAACAGTTAGCAATGACATCCAAGAATACGTGAGCCAGTCACCCTGGACCACCCATCTGCAAGAGGAGCAAAACCAGGAGCCTCCTCTCTTCCCTGTGCCTCCCACGGAGAAAAATCATGTTTTTCTAATATGCTTATTTATCCTAAGATGATTTCAAGCTTGCAGACTTCCAAGAGCCAGATGAAGAACGTCCCTCTCTAGCCTCTCCCCCAGTCACAGGGACCCTCAGGATGTGCGTCTGCTGTGTGTGCGTGCACGCCTTTCTCTATCAGGATCAGTGAGCACCAGGTAACCCTGCCATCTAATTCTCCGGAGGCTATAAGACAGAAGTGGGTTCTGAAGGATTGAAAATAATAAAAACGTTAAAATACCCCACACTCTGTGAACACCGCAGGCCACTTGAACTGTAAACACCCCACACTCTGTGAACACCACAGGCCACTGGAACTGTAAACACCCCACACTCTGTGAACACCGCAGGCCACTGGAATCGTGGCAGCCACACTCTGTGAACATCGCAGGCCACTGGAATCATGGCAGCCACACTCTATGAACATCGCAGGCCACTGGAACTGTGAACACCCCACACTCTGTGAACACCGCAGGCCACTGGAATCGTGGCAGCCACACTCTGTGAACATCGCAGGCCACTGGAATCATAGCAGCCACACTCTATGAACATCGCAGGCCACTGGAACTGTAAACACCCCACACTCTATGAACATTGCAGGCCACTGGAACTGTAAACACCCCACACTCTGTGAACATTGCAGGCCACTGGAATTGTAAACACCCCACACTCTGTGAACATCGCAGGCCACTGGAATTGTAAACACCCCACACTCTATGAGCATCGCAGGCCACTGGAATCGTGGCAGCCACACATACAGCTCTACTGTGCTCTGTCACGCTCATCACACATGACCTGTGGCCGCTCTGGTACCGTAACAGCTGAATGAGTGGCAGTGCAGAGACCGTATGGCTGCAAAAGCTTAAAAAGAGAAAAAAGAGGGGCTGCAGAGATGCTCAGCAGTTAAGAGCACTGGTGCTCTTCCAGAGGACACACATAACAGCTCACAACTGTCTGTAACTCCAGTTCCAGGGACCCGGCACCCTCACACAGATATGCCTGCAGGCCAAATGCTGATGCTCACAAAATAAAAATAAATTAAAAAAAGATAACCCCAGCCAGGTGGTGGTGGTGCACAACTTTAATCCCAGCACTCAGGAGGCAGAGGCTGGCAGATCTCTGTGAATTCGAAGCCAACCTGGTCTACAAGAGCTAGTTCCAGGACAGTCTCCAAAACTACAGAGAAACTCTGTCTTGAAAAACCAAAAAAAAAAAAAGACACACACACACTTCTCTATTTGACCCTTTGCCAAGGAAGCTTGCCCCACCCTACCCGCCACCCACCACCTCATCCCAACCCATTAGGGAGTTGGCTGTAACCTTGTCAGTTGAGCTTCAATGTGCATCAGCTGTGATCAATGATATCAGATCTATTCAGATGTAGTTACTAAACCTTGAGATGCATACATGCATACATACGTACATACATACATACACACACACACACATACATACATACATCTTTGAGGCTTTCATCTCAGACACCACAAATAGACATCACAGTTTGCCAACTGTCCTTTTAAAATGTTTTAAGCTTCATTTGTTTACGTATTCTGTGTGTGGATGTTTGCTGCCTCCCACATTGTATACACTGATTCTGTCAACTTGACACAGCTAGAGTCATCAGAGAGGAAGGAACCTCTCAGTTGAGACGTCTCCATGAGATCCAGCTGTAGGGCATTTTCTCAATCAATATGGGCAGGGAAGTCCATTGTGGGCAGTGCCACCCCTCGGCTGGTGTCCTGGGGTCTATAAGAAAACAGGCTAAGCCAGGCAATGGTGGTGCGTGCCTTTATCCGAGCACTTGGGAGGCAGAGGCAGGTGGATCTGTGAGTTCAAGGCCAGCCTGGTCTACAGAGGCAGTTCCAGGACAATTAGGGCTGCTACACAGAAAAACTTTGTCTCAATAAACAGAAAAGAGGGAGGGGAAGGGAGGAAGGAAGGGGAGAAAGAGAGAGGCTGAGCAAGTCATGGGGAGCAAGCCCATAAGTGGCTCCCCTCCATGGCCTCTGCATCAGCTCCTGCCTCTAGATTCCTGTCCTGACTTCCTTCAGTGATGAACAGTGATGTGGAAGTGTAAGCAAAATAAAGTCTTTCCACCCAGCTTGCCTTATGGTCATGATGTTCTGTTGTGGCCATGGAAACCCTAACTAAGACAGTACCCATGAAGAGGTCAAAGGACAGTCTGCAGGACTGGTTCTCTCCATCCACCAGGTGGTAAAACTCAGGTCACTGGGCTCAGTTGGCAGGCAAGCACCTTTACCTGCTGAGCCATCTTGCAGCCCAAATTGTCTCTTTCATGGCACTTGTCCTTCAGATCTTGGGTCCTATCCAATTTTATACTGAGTATTCTTGCAGGTATTTTTGTCTCTTTAACCTGGAACAGAACTTC